CGCCGGCACACGGCTGGCTGGGATCCGCCGGCACACGGCTGGCTGGGATCCGGCGGCACACGGCTGGCGGGGATCCGGCGGCACACGGCTGGCTGGGATCCGCCGGCACACGGCTGGCTGGGATCCGGCGGCACACGGCTGGCGGGGATCCGGCGGCACACGGCTGGCTGGGATCCGCCGGCACACGGCTGGCGGGGATCCGCCGGCACACGGCTGGCTGGGATCCGCCGGCACACGGCTGGCTGGGATCCGCCGGCACACGGCTGGCGGGGATCCGCCGGCACACGGCTCACTGCTGCCACCGCCGCCGCTGCCTCCGCCGCCCGTATTGTTATAGCAGCTGCATGCAGATTGGCAGCAGAGGTTGTCTTCCCAGATGAAAGATGGCACGGAATGTACGCTCGGGGACCGCAGCCCGGTGACACGTGTGCCGCAGTCGCCTCTGCCTCTCCCTCTGAAATGGTCTGTGCTTCCGCTAATTTACATAATACACTTCTGACACCTCCACTTTATTCATCAATCACTGTACCTTCTCCCAGTCTATCTTTTGTCTGAGCGTGTCTGCACTCCATCAGGACCTACACAAAAGATTAATTTCACAGTTTTTTCCCCCCCTCCTCCCGTCCTCTTCGCCCCCCTTCCCCCCTTTTTTCTTTCATTTCAAAGATACAAAGCTTATGAAATGACAGAGGCAAGATAATGAAAACAACAATGCAAGCAATTTTTGGCTCCTGCAGGTCGGATTGCTAGATTTTCTTTCCTGTTTTTTTTTCTCGCTCGTTCCCTCTCTTCTTCTCTCCCTCGCCTTCCTCCTTTGCCTCCGCCCCTCGGTGCAGCATGGCTGCCAGCTGTCTAAGGCTTCACATCCCCATCGCCTGCTTTAATCTGGCTCCCTCGCCACGCTGTGCCGACCACCCAGCCCAACTTGTCGCCGCCGCTGTCCCACCTCGCGAGCGCGAACCATAACCCTCCTGGACATCCGGAGGGGGTGAGGGGGTGGAGTTCCGACTGGAACAAAATGAATGATGGTCAGTCGCATCCCAGCACGGTACGGTATGTAAATCACACAGCGGAGCCCCTCTGCCACTTTCTGTTTCACTAGACATCTGCCTTTCTCGAGAAAAACAAGGTAAAAAAATTGTCCGAGTGGTTTGACCGAAGGGTGTAGGCTCTGATCAGACCCACAGTGGTGGGGGGGGGGCAAGAATGAGGGTGAGGAACACAGCTCTGGGGGGGCAGGATTGTCAGAAGGGGCTGCCTGTGAACATTTGTGCTTGGGGGGTTACACTGGGAGAAGGAGTAGGATGGAAGCGTCGCTGATTGTGGGGAGATCAGCTCCTCAACGCGGGACGGATGTGGGAACAGGGAGGAAGCCAAAGCATCGGCGGTCCCTGGAATTACGTAATTAAGGTCAGCTGTGGAGTGCCAGGCTGCTATCTCGCGCGGCGTCTCTGGGTGGCGCCGGTGAGTGGCCGATACAGCCAAGCGTGCTTCACGTGTGATTTTTTTGTCACCCGGATGCCAATAAGGGCTCGGTGTGACCTACGTGTGTGTACCCCTACACCCCCTCCTTGCCCCCCCCCCCCCCCCAAACCCCCCCCCCCCCCCATGACTGAAAGGCTACACTGCAGCACTGTTGTAATGAGCAGGCAGTGGGGTGAAGAAACTTCTCGCTGGGGAAACTTGCAATATTACACCAGCTATCTCTATGAAAATTACAATATGCACAGCCCAACTTCTCGTTACAGGATGAAAAATAATGAAATTCTTTGTGACAGCCACCCAGCCCATGCTATGTATAATGATTTTTTTTTTCTCCCGGTGAATTTGACTATTTTTTTTCCCCACTATCTGGGTACATCTGTTTTGCATGAGATGCATAAAATGACAGCACTTGGACAGCCAGCACATCTAGTGACAGAGATTACTGTCACCCACCTTCTTGAGTTAATTCATCATTGGAAATGGTCCGGCTCCTTCTCTGGTCTCTTAGCAACAGCCAATCCCCTGACGACAAGGCCGCCACGTGACTGTGTAATACAGTAGGTCCTCAGCATACCTTTTACATAAAAATAAGCCGATAATTTCAACTTTACATTTTTATTGTATTAACATAAAATATTTTGGATATTACATTGAAATTCATATCCAACGAATTTGATTCTACCAGCTATTATGCACAAAAAAAGCACAGTGGATCTACTAGTTAATCGGAGCATATGAATGAAAAAATATTTGCTTTGTATATTAGTTTTCTTCGACTACGAGAGCGAGAAAACTTCAGAAGCGGTCGGTCTGAGGAGCAGTCGCACCGCCTGAATGAGCGCTTCCGTTTAGGGGCACCTGTGCCTTTTCTTAAATGCCAGTCTCCGAAAATGGAACAATAAACAACCGGAAGTGGGCTCTGTGCGAATGGGGAAGAACGTGAAATTTGCCGGACGCCAGTCCTTTGTCCTGTTGTGATGTCATCCCAGCCGAATATGAATCACACTGTGGACCTCGTGACAGAATAATTATTTTGGCCTGTTCGCTGGTCAGGTAAATTGGATTTTAAAAATCTATACCATTATAGCTAGTATAGTGAGAAAGTGTATATTCTCAAACACAAAACACTGCCATAGAAGAAGCATTTTTACATTAGCAAAAAAATCATAATGAAGGAAATATTTGCCTAATCTCAGTGGCAATTATACAAATGATATAATTTCATTCATTAATCCTATACAGGGTTGCGAGGGCCTAGTGCCCATTCCAGAAACAGGGTACAGGGCAAGGAGTAACCCAGAGAGTAACCCAGGGAGTAACCCAGAGAGTAACCCAGAGAGTAACCCAGGGAGTAACCCAGGATGGGATGCCAACTCATGGTAAGGGCTACATTGTCATTAATTTGTAATTTATAGTGTATAATACAGTCTTTTAAAATACATGACAGCCTTTCCTTCCTTAAAATTCCCTTTGACTGATCTGAGAAAAAAAAAAGAGCAAAATAAGACTTGCAAGGTATGAAAGAATAATGCAAAAAATAACGTCAGAAAAGAGGTTAAAAGTCCGTGGCACCGGAAAACAGGCGCGTGATTCACGACAGGCACACAAAGGGAGCGATTAAAGCAGCGGAAACGCAGCTCACTCCCCTCCACGGCGACAGCGCAGGGCTACCGCTCACAACTTTATCTCGCACGAAAAGGTGAATCCGTGAGCGATATCTCCAATTTAAAAGCACTCAACTCGCGCCATTCCAGAAATGAACGCCACCCCCCACATATTCACGCAACGGTGATTCCAACTCGGAGACGTCGGCCCTGCGAATGATGCACCTCCCCCCCGCCAAAACCACCCCCCCACCCCCCAGGTGACATTCGTAACAGATCGGCAGCGACGCCACAGAAATTACATGTGGAATAATAGAAAATGTATTTGTTCTGACACGTCCAAAGCAAACTGGGAGAATTAATTTAAAAACATACAATGGGAGATAAGGGACGGGGGGGGGGGGGGCGGATGAGGAGAAGCCGGCTTCAGTGACGAGCTGCGGTAGGACACCTCCCCTTCCCATCGCTTCGTTTATAATGACCTAATTTTGTGCTAATGAATTGCTGACAAAAATCAGAAAACACAGATCGTAACGGCGTTGTAGTTTAAAACCCCAGCCTTAAACGGGCTCCTTTCCCTGCGATCACTCTGTGAACTGGAATTAAAGGTGCTGAATGAACCAATGCCGTCACCAGGAAACGAAAGCGGACGAGGACCGGAGGAGGCGCATTTTGGTCGTTTTAGTGGTTATTATTGGACGAGGCGTCTCCGTACCATCTTCGCATTCCTCTTGAAGAAAAGGCCAAAAAATTCCTTGCAGGCAGCACTGTGGAGCGGCGCCATCACACTTTCCTGCCTCTTTTTCCGTCAGACACGCAGCTCCCACAGCGGACGTGCTCTTTTGGGGGAGAAAAGGATGAGATTTACATCACTGGTTGCATTACGGCGGATTCCTCAGAGGAATGACATCCAGTTGTGATGGCAACAGGACCGCTCCGCGACAACCGCCTCCAGATTAGGGCCCAGGTCCTGAATCCTGGATGCGTAAGGTCAACACTGACCCACTTCACGTTTGCCCTCGTGCCCCCAAACCCCCCCCCGACAATTGCATCTCAAAAGCAAACCAAATGTTTATAATCAATTACATCCCCAGTCTACTTAGGAGACGGTCCACTTCCTTTGCATGACTCCTGGGCTTATTCTTGGATGTCCTCGGATAATTACGAGAGGAAGGCACTCGAGAGGGCCGATTTCAATAATTTACAGATTCGGCAGTAAAACTCCAACAAGGACCCGGAGCTCGACATTAGCCCCATGCAATCTAACAGAATAATTCACCTCCCCGCATCCGGCCTTGGGAGAGCTGTGACTTAATTAGACTTCAGGACAGGGAACTGCTAACCTGAAGGGGGGAACCTCCTTCATTATTTTTATCATTTGTTTCTTTTTATTGAACATGACATGGATAGCTTGCAAACTTTAGCGCTAGATGCTATCAAAACGTCCAACTGAAATGGCTTGTGACCGTGGAAGGCTGGACTGGTGACATTTCAGTCCTGTAACCATCTTACAGCCAAAAGCTATCTATTGGCTCTTCGGAAGCTCGCCATCAGTCTCAGTGGGTTAGAATGTCGTGCCTGTCATCGGAAGGTTGCCGGATCGAATCCCAGGGTTGGCAGAGTGATGCCACTGTTGGCCCCCTGAGAGATGCCCTTAACCACCCCTCTCTCCCAGGACCATGTGACCCTGCTTACTCCAAAGTATTCCCTCCTTAGGAAAAACGCATTGGCTAAACAGAAAAAAAATTGTAATTGTAAAATGGGTCGGCATAACCCTGAGAGATGGGGAATGGTACTGCCAGCCGATGCTGATAACGAGGGAGACATTTATTACTGTGTAACGAGTCGCAGGGTTTAAATCAGTCAGGCTATGAAAATAACACCAGGGGCTCCAACAGCACATTTTCGCGATGCTTCCGTTTGTCGCCGATGGGCCGGTGAGGTCTTGGCTCGGAAAAAAACCAACGGGGAGGCACGTGATGATCCGCTAATAAAGGGGGGTCACCTTGTAACCCGACACCGGTGTTTAACATATGGAACGTACCACAGTCTGAGAAACGGGGGTGGGAGTAGCGCCCCCTGTGGCCTGCCAGGGAGCGCGCAGTGTTTGGCGGGTCCTGGCACGCCCCGGACTGCATGTGATAATCTGCCGAGTGTCGGGTGGAAACAGGCCCACTGGGGCATTATCTGAAGGGGCCGTCGTCACCCTGTCGTGACGAGAGTGTGAGGATGCATAGATACTCACTAGAGTGTCGGGGGGGGGGGGGGGGTGTTGAGGCATGAGGGATGGCGAGCAAATACGCAAACGGGTCCGACAAAGTGAGAATGCCACATTGTGGGCAGCAAAGGAAGAATTAGGCGCACGGAGCACAGAACCAGGAGCCGGCCCAGTACTTTACATTATTAGGTGGAGGCCCTGAACATGTAATATTATGAATATTATTAGGTGGGGGGGGGGCAAGGTGACATTTTGTGAGAGGGTCCAAAATATTTAGTTAAGCCCCTATCCACATATCACACAAACCCACAGTTTTCCACAATCTACAGCCATCACCCACCCCCCCTCACGCCTGTGGGTCAAGCCTGGCTACTAATGGTTCACAATTACACGGGACTCTTTTATTCATTACAGACAGGCAGCGTGCGCCGTGGGGCCCTAACCGACGCTAACTGCGAGAAATATCAGCGGCTGTTTACATCTCGGGGCGTTAATAACGCGCTGGCGGACGAAGGCGGGGGCACAGCGGCACGTACACTCCCTAAACAAACAGCGCACATCGGCAAGAGATAGCTAGTTAGCCCCTGAACCTTGCCTGGGCCCGCGGAGAAGCGGGGAGTACCGCATAATTAGCGGGACCTCTCCAGCACGATAGCCGTTGCTTCTTTGTCTATTTCAATAACCCAGGACTGGATCCGGTGCGAAATTAAAGCGAGGATGTCATCAATTTCGGTTAACCTCCTTATATCGTTTTGCACTCGCTCATAAGTGATGGATCGTTTTTGTCATTCCATTAAGCCCGTTGTGGTGGTGAGTCTCCCACCTGAAGTGGCGTCAGTGCTGGAGTGCCCTCCGTGTGTCTCACAGGCAAGTTTGTATCCAGGAGACACCCTGGATGACACCTCCAGACCAAAGGGGGCGCTGTTTAGTGTAGGGGACCGTTTGGAATGTCAGGGAGGGGCCGCCTACTGGCATCCTACTCCCAGAAGCAGGGGTGGTCGATGCCGACCTGGTGACTTGCTTCTTCAAGGGTTCAAGGACGCGACCGATGTGTCTGTAAACAAACCATTCAAAATCAGTCATTTCTACTTTTGGGCAGCCGATCAAATAATGGGTGAGATGACCACATAGAAAGTTTGTCTCACAGTAAGTGGCACAATTAATGTTGTCAGTTGGCAGATTTATTGGGGTGCCTACGTATCTTTGGATAACAGGTTGAGCAGTAGCTATAAAACATCGGGCCTTTAGCTTTAGCAGAGAGACGTTAGGCTGGTGTAAGCATATATGTTATTGTGCCCACAGATACTAACCAGGAATAAGTTTCTCGACCGTATTAATAGCTTCTTCACTGACTTCAGTATTGTTGCCTACCCCACCCAACCCCCCGCCTATATCTGATATTTGCATTTGGGGGTCCCTTTTTCTGATGAATCAAGCTAAAAGAGGGAAAGAAACACATTAACAAACAACAAAAACGGAAGGTAGTATGGTCATAATTATGCATCGACCAATCGCAGAGCCGTTTTAATTACGGCCCATCGCAGGAGTTATTTGCACATTCTTCTGCCAACCCCACGGTCCAAGATGGCAGCCGCGTGACATACGAACACCCCCGGCGCTCCAAGAAAGGAGAACGAGACCCGAAACAGCGACAACGATAATAGTAATGATGACAAATACAAAGATGCTTTATTCATAATCAGTGATGGGGAAGCGAAGGCAGTGAGGCGGCGGTGGTCAGTGGCCGGCTGGCGAGGATCCGGCGGCACACGGCTGGCGGGGATCCGGCGGCACACGGCTGGCGGGGATCCGCCGGCACACGGCTGGCTGGGATCCGCCGGCACACGGCTGGC